ACATGTGCTAAGACAATAATATCAACAACTATGAAAAATGGGAATAGGCAAACAGGTTGGGGGAGTGGAAGGGAATTTTAAAAAAAGAAACTAGTGATGCCCATCAACTGGAGACTGAATAAAGAAGATATGGGTGTTTTTTTTAATAAAATGAAGTACTACTCAGCCATAAAGAATGATAAATTAGAGACAATTATAGCTAAATGGATGCACATTGAGGCCATACTCTTAAGTGAAATAAATAGGACACACATGTATAAATACCAAATAGTTTCTCTGGTGTAAAAAACTAAAAATTTAAATGAGGGCCAAAATGTATAATTGATATTGTGAAATAGGAAAAAAGGGTCCAAGAGGGGAGAGGAAAGGGAAATGCGGGGAGAGAATAGAAGAAAAGAAAAATATGAGAAAAGGAAAAAAATGGAAACAGTCTTTGTAGATTGGAAGAGTTAAAAGGAGGGCAGAAGAATGGGGAAAATATAAGAACCAAGATATATAAAGTACAGGTACAAATTCCCAATGATGAATGTCATTGTATTGTATACCTAAAATGTACCGATAAACTTAATGAGTAAAAAACCCAAGCAGTAATACATACATGCAACCACTCCCAAGATAACTGTAAACTGCATGAATTGCAAACATGTACTAATTTAAAAAAATAAATAAATTTTAAAAAATACAATGAGATACTACTTCACAACTACTGGGATGACTAAAATCAAAATGCCGGACAATAACATGTGTTGGCCCAGATGTGGAAAGTTTGGAACTCTCACACACTAGTAGTAGGAGAGGAAAATAATCTTGCTGCTTTGGAAAACAGTTTGGCAGGTATTCAAAAGGTAAATTACCATATGCTCCAGCAATTCCACTCCTAGAAATATACTTAATAACAGAAAAATGCATTTACACACAAAAACTTGTATATGAATATTCATAGTAACAATATTCATAATAAGGAAAAATTGGAAACAATTCAAATGTCCTTTAACTGATAAATGTAGAAATAAAAGAAATAGAGCCATACAGCAGAATGCTATTCTGCTAGAAAAAGCAGTGAGGTCCCAACACATGCTACAACTTGGATGAACCTTGAAAATATTATGCTGAGTGAAAGAAGAGAGTCACAAAAACCACAAAAAAAATATGATTCTATTTGTGTGAAATTTCCAGAATAGGTAAACCTATGAAGACAGAAAGTAGATTAATGGATTCTAGAGGTTGGAGGGAGAGACGAAAGGGGACTGACTACTTAATAGAGAAAAAAATAGATAGGGAGTAGTGTCTTTTTTTTTCAGCTTTAATTGAGTTTATTGGTACATTTTAGGTATGCAGTACAGTTACATTCATTGTTGGGATCTTGTACCTCTACATGACAAGTCTTGATCCTCATTTTTTCCCCTTACCTCTGCCCTCCCTTCACCCCCTCCTCCCCTCCCCATCTACAAACACTTTATTTTCAACTTTTCATTCTCTCACACTTTTTTCTTTTCCCTTTTTACTCTTCCCCTACCCATCCCACCTTCCCTACACCTTTAGCTCCTTTCTTCCCATTTCTAAATGTCAGTAATCTTATTAGAATCTTATGCATTGTTGCAGATTATTTACACCAGGGAAACCATTTGGTGTTTACACATGTGTGACTTATTTATTTCACTTAGGAGTATATCTTCAATATGTATCCATTTTCCTATGAATGAATCTATTTTCTCATTCTTTATGGCTGAGTAATATTCCATTTTATAGAAAAACCACAACTTCTTTATCCAGTTTCCAATGGATGGGCAAATAGGCTGTTTCCAAGATTTAGCTATTACAAACTGTGCTGCTATAAACATGGGTGCACATACTTCTCTGTGATATGATTCTTTTAGTTCTCTTGGAAAGATACCCAGCAGAGGGATGGCTGGGTCAAATGGAACCTCCAGTCCAAGCTCTTTGAGGTATCTCCATATTGATTTCCATAGTGGTTGCAC